AAAAAAAAAAAAAAAAAAAAAACAAAGATCATCTTGAAAGCTCGGAAGTATAACTATCTAGACAAAATCTATGGCCATCATAAGATGTTCCCCTCGAGACAGCATAAGTTTTATTTGAAACATTTTTCTCTATAACAAGTTTAAAAGGAAATTACGTGGATAGCTTCATATGGAACACTCTGTATATGTGTACAAAAATGAATTAATTTCCTTACGTCTCTTATACTTTAGATAATGTAAAAACTATAATATTTGCATTAATAATTATATTCGATATCAATGGCGACTACTCGCGGTCAATTAACTTCTGCTGTAATACGTCATTCAACATATGTTTCATTCTTGACTAGATTGTGCCATTATGAATGTCAACGGGTTTTTCCAACAATTGTAACAATTATACGTAATCAAAAGTTCTGTAGATCTATTCTTATTTGAATTCCTTGAAATTGTTGCGTTGACGAATACATTCACTCGTACATGAATTCGCTTTCAACACCGGACCTTGTGTTGGTGTTGTAATAAAAATAAAAAATAAAATTCCTTTATTCTCAATTTGCTTTCACTCTTCAGCTCCACATTGCGCCCAATTTGCTTTTAGTACTTTGTTAGTTAAAATGGCCAATGTGCTCAGTTTTCTTCTCGGAAAGGGAAGAACTGATTGAATTAAATTAAATTGAAATTTGAAGTCGAATCTTTCGTTTTACAATAGTAAAATCGGAACTGAAATGTTTAAAGCTAAATATACATTCGTCTCCATTGCTACTTCATTGCATTCCAATTGTCTTTAAACTTTAAAGAACTATGTTCCTTGTGTGCAGGTAAGTTGTTTGAGCGTTTGAGCAAGTTTCCAACGAGCCCCAGAACACTGCTGTTGGCGAACAGTTCGTGAATGTGAACATTTCAGCGAACTGCAATCGACACTAAATGTCTTCAAACTTTGAATGTGGAAGTTTTAGCTATTCTTTGAAAATTAGAGAAAATAAATCGAGAAAATCACGATGAAGACGACTACATTCAAAAGGAAATATTTATAGTAATACGACGTTGTTACCAGACTTAAAATTTCAATTAAAAATATAAAAATTCCATTTCATTCATTTTCACCAAATGAATTCCGGTTTTTAATTAACATAATCAGATCAGAAATATCAAGAAAAAGATTAATTTTAGAGAGACTTATAACCGTTCAAGAACAACTATCAATAACTCTTAATTTCCTGGCAAATTTTTGTTCAGTAGCCTTCAGTTTTTATTTAAAAGTTTGAAACGATCTATCTTGCATCTTTAGATTTGCAATCGCAATTAAAAATGTTTTATCGAGTTTAATATGTGGAGGAAGGAGGGAAAAATATATATCTTCATTTGCTGAATTAAGGTAAATTCATATAATCCATGTGAAAATATAACAATTTTTATTCAATTTAAAGCTTTACAATTATTCAACTTAACATATATTGATAATTATTTTAATTTTCTAGAAACAAAATTATAAAATGTTAATCAAATATAAAGTTACAAGAAAAAGAAGTAAAATTAATAGATTGCTGTATTTATATTAAACTTTTCAATTGGATTTTTGGATTTGAGTTTTGTTCAACAAATGAAGACGATATAATAAGTTTAGATAGTGAAAGAACAAAGAGTTTTGTTAATTATTAGGATAAAAATTAGAGGGAATTGAAATTTAATCGTAGGAACCTTTATTAACATTAAGAAATATATCCATAATTATAGTTTGAATCACACTTTGGGTAATTTTAGAAAATGTCCTTAACTTAGAAACCATTAATGTTGCCAAAATGTCCAAATCCAATTGATGGTCTTCTTCTTGTTTTTTTCTTTTTGGAGATCTTTGTGGAGTTTGAAATACTCCTATTT